TGGCTATCTACAATTATCAAACAAACTAAGTTTTAAATGTTCATTGCAAGTCAAGAGATGACGTTTGAGCGAAAGCATTTTGGACAAGCATGCCCGATTCAACTAGAGCTTCACAATGAACTTTTGGTGTACGACTTTATTTTGGTGCAATTTTAATGGTTAGAATGGACATGCTTCATTTGAGGATTTTGGCCCGGGAACTAGTATTAGCTTTCTCCACGGTGTGACTTTAAAAACTGCATTTATGTAGCATTTGATGATGGATTTTACTTGAGAAATATTCCTTCGGGTATCTTTGAATTATACACCCTTGGGAAAAATGAAATAAAATCCCCGAACCACAAAAACCTGCTTTTTTATTCTTTTATGTTGGATTGCTCACCCATGTAGTAATTCAACATAGTGTTGTTGGGTTTCTTTATAGACCTAAGATTTTGTATATTTGAAATCTACAGTACTGAGAGGAATCTTTTGGGATATCAGAATTCTTTTAATGTTCATAATTTGGTCGGGTTTTGAGCTTCTAATTGCAATGACTCATACCCAAGATTCGAAATATGAATTTGGTACTTAATGGCCCTAGGATTCCCGTGACGATATGGTAAGGTTACTTACTCCTCGCTTCTAATAGTAAAAACTATGAACGCAAACCAACATGAGTCCTTCTAACACGTTTTGTCCTCAATCACGTGTTTGCTACAAAAATTCTCAAAAGGTCACCCATCATAAAATTGCTCTAGTTGAATTCGGAGTTCCTATAGTTGAAACACCAAAAAGGAAAGTGCACCTTTTTGATATAGGTAGTAACTTTCAATTCTTTTTAAGATTTTCTCATTCATCTATACTCTTGATTGCTTTCCTTCGAATGTCATCTTTACTCATTCATGTACTCTGTTTTCCGAGACTAGAGGCCACCCCTATGATGATAGAGATAGATAGTTTCCTAAATAATGATTGTTTGTGTTTTCATTTGCATGGCCCCCTATAGTGGGGCCACTTACTTAGCATTCTTTGAAATACTCAAGCCGTGTGCCACATTATTTTTCAGATCAAGGCAAGGCGCACTTTTACGGAGGACGGTTGCTTCACGAGCAGAGACTATGACACGTGCATAGGGTAGATTCATATTTAAATTTCTAGGTTTAGGTTAGAATAGGTTGTTATGCATTTCATTGTTTTAAATTATTTTGTATTTCTCTTATTTTCTCTTAATTTCAGTATTTCGTATTTAAATACGTAAGGACATGGGTGTGTTTTCTAGAGAATAGTTGTTTTAAGCGTTTTTCGAAGTTTATGTAATAAATGATGGTTATGGGAATGTCATAGAAAAATAATAATAATAATAATAATAATAAATAAATAAATAAATAATAAATAAAGATATAAGCCAACAAAAATAATTATAAAAAAATATTTAAAATAATAATAATAAATAAATAAATAAACCAAAAAAAAAAAAAAAAACCTTTCCTCACTCCTCTCCACTAACATCTCATCCCATCCCACAATTATCTCTCCTTAAGCCATCTTTAAGAAAACTGAAAAACAACAGATTGGAGTAAAAAAATGAGAATGGTCTTTACCCAGTTGAGACTTTCTGTAGATTTACTTGAAGATAGATTTAATAAATAAAATATATATTAAATCTTCATTTTCTTTTATTTTTTTTAGAATCATAGCCAATTATAGTGAGATGTTCATTAAATTATTACAATGGTTTAGCTCTGAGTTAGAAATTAAGTGTCAATCATTATACTAATTCTAGTAAATCTCACTAATATAAGATTAAATTTATATCAATAGTCAAATGAAAAGATTAAAAATAGAATGACCAAAAAAATTTGTGAACAGTAAAC